AGTGGGCAGAACAGGGGCTCTAGGAAAGTGGTCCAGGCACATCTAGTTACTCTAGAGTTACACAAGAGTCAGTTTGTGATAGCCTTCCTCCTTTCCTGACATGGGATATCTTTCTCAATGACTATTTGTATTTTGAGACAAGGTCGCCTGTTCAACTAGGAGCCAACAGGCCCCAGGAATCCTCTCATCTTCACCCGCCCCCCCTTTCAACCCTCCCCATATTGCTGACATTACAGGTGCCCGATACTATGCCTGACTTTTTTGTTCTTTTTGTTTAATTTTATTGAATACTGTATTTATATCATTTCCACCCCTTCCCTCTCCAAATTCTCCTTGCCCCACCCTGCTCCCTTTTAAATCCGTGACCTCTTCTTCTATAATTATTAGTGTTACATTATACACCTAACCTAGAGAGTTCATCTGGTGTTGTTTGTAGGTACTATTGAGGGTTGACCGCTTGGGATTAGACAACCTAACAGGACACTCATCCCTGGAAGAAAATCTATCTGTGAGAGTATGGATGAATATTTAGAACAGAGCTAAATGCTGCATTGATTTAGGAACGTGACAGTAGTATTTCTTCCTTTAGTGTCTGTGACCTCTGTAGCCAGATTTACTGTACCAGGCATGAATTCATGAATTTGATCAGTTAGCTGTTTGTTATACCCCAAACATAAGGGCCACTGCTGCACCTTTGGAGCTATGGTACTAGGCCCGTCATTGCTGTGGTTTGCTGGGTGGGACTAGAGTTTGCTTTTCTCCCTTGGCAGCTTGCTTGGCACTTTCTGATTCCCTGAGAGCTAGTCCTGAGAAAGAAGGCTTCCAGGTCAGTTCCTGCTCAATTCCTCCGTGTTCTGTGTTACACCACACAAATTCTCTCTCTCTCTCTCTCTCTCTCTCTCTCTCTCTCTCTCTCACACACACACACACACACACACACAACCCCTATGAAACTAAAGAAAATCTCTCCCAGTTTTTGATAAATTATACTTTAAAAGCAAATGCAGTCCTTCAATTTCACTAAGTTGTAATTATATTAAATTACCAGCTCAAAATAAATCTTATGGAATGTCAATGAGACATTTCTATCATTTTGAAAAGAAATAATAAGCATGTTTTATCCAAATAATTTCATATAAAAAGTCACACAGATATTCATATGCCGGGAACTAGAAAGGAGAAAGGATCATTATAAAGTTATTAGCTGTGGAAATCAAATTAATTCAGACCTTAGGAGCAAGCTTACAAGAAAGATGTTGAATATGTAATTTTATTTATTTATTTTAGTTGTGTGGCAGGTGCTGGAGATGGCTCAGCAGTTAGGAACACTTTTTGCTCTTACAGAGGACCTGAGCTCAGTTCCTGACAACCACCTGTAACTTCAGCTCCAGGGGATTCAACACTCTCTTTTGATTTCTGTAGGCACAAGATCACATGTACACAGACGTGTTGTGGGAACTTATTTAGCCAGTAGTCTTTGAGGTACCAGCTCCTTGGGGCCAGGTCTCTCAGGTGCTACATGAGCTTGGAGCAGATGGCAGCATCCATCACCTAAAGGCAGGAGACCTCTGTGGTTCTCTACCTTGCTTTGTTATTGATGAGATTCCTCAATAAATACCTGACTTCCCTTTATCCGGACTTTTGTGGATGTTATTACAATGGCACATGTCTGGGATGGAGGAGTAGACAAAGTCATTACCTTAAACATCCCACACCCTTGGAAGGCTGTTGTTCTGCTTTCTTGCACTCCCCTAGAGTGTTTACAATGGAAGACAAAAGCACACTAGACAAACAGGAGGGCCCCCTTTCCCTTTGGGGGCTGTGAGAGTAGGAGGCATGGTTCATCTTCCATGAGACAAGACCTTTCTGCATTATCTCCAGAAGTAGTTATAAATGAACCCCAAAGGTTAAATGGCCTGCCCAAGAAGTTGTGTCTATAAAAAAAGGCAATGGGTGGACCAAAATCTTAGTATTCCTTGGGAAACCAGGCACCAGGGATTCCTGATGTCCACAAATTCAACAGCCCCAAGTGAATAAAACCTGAGGACAGGTTGAGCATTTCAAACTTTGAAATCTGAAATGTAAAACAAACAAAAAAAACCAAACAAACAAAAAAACAAAACCCCGAAAAAGTGTATCAAGTTGACGTTATACATTAGAGTACCATAGATCTCAGAGTTTTAGGTTAAAGATACAATGAAAATATTCCACAGTCTAATGTCTGGAGCCAGGCATAGTGCCTATAGCCTTAGAACGGGGAATGCTGAGGTAGGAGGATTGTGAGTACAAGAGCAACCTAGGTTATGAGACAAGACTCTATCTCAAGGGGCTGGAGAGATGGCTCAGCGGTTAAGAGCACTGGCTGCTCTTCCAGAGGACCTGGGTTCAATCAATCCCCAACAAGCACTATGACAGCTCACTACAATCTAACTCCAGTTCTAGAGGATCCCATGCCCTCTTCTGGATTCCACAGGCACCAGGCACATACGCAGTGCAGATATACAGGTATACATGCTGGCAAAACATATACACACAAAAATAATAAACAATTTTTAGAATATAAATTTATGTCAAAACAATGGCCTCAAAAGCCTTAACACTTAGGATCCTAGGCATTTCAGATATAAGGGATATCCAATCTGTATTTCTCTTACTGATTTAAAACTTCCTTTATTATTGTGTGCATTTGTGAGTATGAGTGGTTACCAGAGGGATCCGCTCTCTCTTTCCCCCCTGGGTGCCAAATAGCAAACTCCTGTCCTCTGGCTTCTGTAGAATGTGCCTTTGCCCACCGAGCCATCTCAGCAGCCCCTGTCTTCACTCATTTTCAAAGAGGCATGTATGGAGAGGTACTGCCGACCACGCCGGCTTGGGGCTGGGCACAGGTACCGCTGACCACGCCCACTTGGGTTTAAAAAGTTGGGAGGCACGAAGGCGGGCATTTTTTTCTCTCCTCCACCTGACTGAGCAGACAAGCAAGCATCCGGTGTAAACCTGATCACTGACTCGGTTGCATGAGTACTTTCTTTATAAACTATCTGTTATCAATCTAGTTCTGACTCCACTTGGCGTTTGGCTTTAGAGGCAAAAAGCCACTACTGCTAACATTCAACTTTTACAAGTGACCTTGCAGAAGGTCAACAATGTAACAACACAATCCCAGCAGAGTGGTTAGGTACAGAGGGATGACTGACAGAAAGGGACCAGCCCCCTGTCTGGGACAGTCTTGTGTAGGGGGAACAAGTGAGAAGTGGGTTCAGGATGGAGGTATTGCTGGCCAGGTCTGTGGGGCCTTCCCTTCTGTCATTTCCTGTTCTTGGACAGCTGAGCCCTGGATCCAAAGTCAGGTTCCTAGGGAGGCCCTGAGTGTCCAAGGCAAGATAAAATTGCTCAAGACCCAAGATGTAACCTGGCTTTCATCCTATTTCTCTCCTTGGCCTTGGACTCTCTACTTCAGTAGAGATACTGGTGAAAGCCGTGGTTGTGTTTCTTTCCTGGGGATAAACTTCCTGTGATCATGGATACTCTCTCTCTCCCTTAAGTCAACAGGCAGCTGGATATAAAAGATATAATCTTAGCCGGCCGTGTTCAAAGCCAGCCTGGTCTACAAAGCAAGTTCCAGGATAGGCAGGGGCTACACAGAGAAACCCTGTCTCAAAAATCCATAAGCAAATAAATAAATGTGTGTTGTAATATTAGCAGAAATGACATCCAGACTCGGTGGATTTATCCCAAGGTTGGACTCATGTTTGTACACAATCATGTTTTATTTGAAAAGATTTCTACACTGTATTGAGAGCAACACAGGTGACCAAGACACCACAGCCCTGTCCCGGCAGGCACTGACTCCCATGTATAGCTTGGATTGGACTGTTATTTTTCCACAGTGAGGGGGTGAGGTGGAGGTGGGAAAGGAAAAGATAGAAAGAAGAAATGGGCATTCTTTCTAGCTCCAGTTTGGAATCTGACTGACGAGAAGGAAGATGATTCATTCACAGGATCCCTCTAATCTGCTTCTCTTAGCCAGGTGATGGGCGAGAGTCTGTAACCTGCTGGGCCAGCTGGGCCGGGTCAACACACAGGCACATTGGTCCACTTTTCTCCCCATCTTGTGAACTCTTCCTAGGCTAGAGGATGTAAGGATCATATCACAGCCTTCAGGCTAGTCCAGTGCAGACACAGTGCAGAAGAACTCAATACATCCACAGGAAGACAAGTGCCAAGCTGGGTGGAAAAGGCAGGGCGTCCCCGTGGACTCATTATTTGGACCTTTTCAATTGAACCCACAGAAAGATGGGGTATGTCATGAATATTGGAAGCATCTTTTATTTTAAAATCAGACCTTGGCATCCAGCCGCATAAAAGCAACTAAGATTACAAGAGATTATTTTTGCTTTCCCTGTTTTTCCTCAGAGGCAGAAGGCAGATGCTAGAAACTGGTTGGTTTATTCCCTACACCAGACCCCTACACAGGGGTCTCTTCTGCTTAAGGACCAAGTCTGTTCTTGGGGCTACAGTTGCTGAGCCTCTGGCAACCTGTGACATCCAACAGCCTTTTCAACATCTGGAATAAGATCTCCACAGTCCAGAAAGAAGCAGCTCATCCAACGTTTGAGTCTAGGGAGGTGAGGATGTGACTCCTTAACCTGGGGTTTCCATCACCCAAGGGAAGCGGAGGGGACAGACCTCTGGGCCATGAAGGCATCATGGCTTAGAGATGGTTTAGAGAATTGTAAACAGTGAAGTATCTTCCTGGAACTGAAGCCACAATGGATGCTTCTGAAATGGTCCAACTAGACTCCCATAAGGGGCAGCTCATCATGCCTGACTTTAAGTTTACATTTTCAACTCTATGACTCAAACACATTTAAACACAGACCCCACTACCCGAAATGTGTACATATCAACAGGTCAGCAACTGTAAAAAAGCCCGAGCCTCTTTGACGTAACACCGGAGCCAACTACTCCACAGATTCAATAAACATTTCCTGTTGCCTTTGCCTCTTAACAGTAGTAGAGAATGGCCAGGATGAAGCCATGGTTACAGTCACTAAAGCCAACTGGTGATGCTGTCTTGGTTACAAGTCAGTTTAACATGGTTTTGTTCCATTTTCTATGCATGGTGTCTTTTGAATCATTTATTACAAAACATATATTAAAAATGTCTGTTTTCCAAAGGCATATGCTTTGAGGGGCCATGGCTTGTCATGTGTCTGTCCTTTGGCACCTCTGGCAAGTGGAGGAGTCGCCATGGCTGTGGGTGAGGGGGGCGTTCCATGGGTCATCTTCCTCCATAAGCAGAGGATGGGAAGCAGGGGATGTTGGAAGCACTCTTATTTTCAGGTATGTTGGGAGAACAGCTTGATCTGTTCAGCTCTTCAGGGCCTGTGAAAATAAAGAGAATTATTACTCCTTTTACTGTTGTTGGGACTAGTCACTCCCTGCCCTATAGTCATTGAGCCTATTGGCCTGTTCTGTGGTTTCTGTCCCAGAACCCTGTGTCCTTCTTCCCCAGACATTCCCTTCCACACCTAACCCTTACAAAGGCAGGGTCAGGAGTCCAGACATTTCCAAACACAATGCACTGACAGCTGCAGATCAGCCGCCTCCCAGTGGCAGATGGCTCATCCTCTCCCCTCCCCAACCAGCATCATCTTTCTCTGGTTTTTCCCTGGTGCTGAGTTGGAACAGTGCGAAGGAAGCTTAGCCAGGAGTAAGGCTCTTCCCTCCTAAAGTCAATGTCACTAAGATGCAATGACCTGATCTGTGTGGTGGTAGGGTGTGCAGGACAGGTGTGATGGAGTGATATAAATACAAAAGACACCCCCCCAACACACACACACACACACACACACACACACACACACACACACACACACTCCACAGG